GTCGCCAAGATACTCTTAGCTGAAAAGTCCAAACCCGAATTTGCACTTGTCAATGACACTGAACATCCGACCAAGAAGAGAAGGCTGGGAAGTAAGATGAGCACCGCTGCCATTGAAGCAAGGTTCCCAAGCGTGTCATGGGAAAGCATCATGAAAGAGGCCGATCGAATGGCAAGACGAGTTGGCACACTGGTAGTGGATGAGGGTCCCATTATCCAACAAATCCAAAGTATGTGTTCCGAGCATATCGTGAAACATATAGTACTCTGCAGGGGTATTGATCGTCATGTTGGTCCCAACAAAGATATGCCGAAGGGCACTGCACCCGTGCGTCGAATGATTTGCATTCGACGAAAGCATGAAGACATCCATGTGGAGAGTGAGTGGGAACCCTGGGAACGTTTGACCTTGAAGGGACTGCGTAGGAAATGCGTGCCAGCCAGAGTCAGCTTGACTATCTTCGCCCAGGTTCGTTCGAAGCCCAGCGATGCTGTACCTGAGACTTTAATTCATGATCGACCTGCATCCGACAATGTTCCAGTCAGCAAGAGAGCACGAGTTGGGAATGCCACACCCATGCCAAATCCTGATGCCCCCATCACCACTGCCGGCAATAATCCTCATGATCATAATTCCCAAGATAACCAGGAACCTCATAACATCAATAACCCTCAAGATAACCTTAATAACCCAAATTCTGCCGAACACCAAGACCGACAGGTAACCACTCCGCCATCACACCATGACCGAGAAGTAATCGATCTAGTCAGCCAGAAACATGGACCTAGATTTCAGGAACTCAAAAGTGAAGAACAATCATGGTTGTTGAAAGTTCACCGGAATATGGGCCACCCAAGTGCCTCAAAGCTGCAGCAGTTTTGCAAGTCGTTGGGATGTCCCAACAATCTCCTCCAAGCGATCCCAGATTTAAGATGTTCAACATGCTTGGAGACGAGCCAACCCAAAGTTGCTCGCAACAGTGCCATTCATGAGACAGTTGATTTCGGTGACATCATTTCCATGGATGAAGTTTTGTGGACAAACAGGGATGGAGAACAAATGCGGTTTTATCATTTTGTTGACCAAAGCACCATGTACCAAACGGCGATTGCAGCACCATCCAAACAAGCCACAGATGCGGCCCATGCTCTTTTACAAGGCTGGATTCAATGGGCTGGACCTCCGAGACTGTTGTGCGTTGATGCGGCCACTGAACTCAATTCACAAGTGTTCATGGGTTTTCTGCAGAAGTACGGAATTTGCCATCGAACATGTGCAACCGAAGCCCACTGGCAGAACTCTCGAGCAGAGAGACATGGAGGGATTTTACAAGTCATGTTAACCAAGATGGACCATGAAGAACCCATCAAAACATACCATGACCTAGAAGTTGCCCTGTCACAAGCCACCATGACCAAAAATCAGTGGAGCAGGTATCGAGGTTTCGCACCAGAACTGTTGGTTTTTGGGAAAACTGCTCGAACTCCCGGTTCAGTTGTCTCTGATGAAAACCGAGCTTCACATGAAATAGCACTTCAAGATCTTCCCGAAGGTCAGAGGTTCAGAGAAGAGTTAGCTGCTCGAGAGCGTGCAAGGAGAGCTTTCACTGTGGTTGACAATGACCAGGCGTTGCGGCGAGCTTTGGTAAGTCGCAGCCGACCACATCGAGGACAATATGTCCGAGGTGAATGGGTCATGAGATGGAGCAAGAAAGGTGAGGCCGACGGTATTTGGCCAGGGCCCCTTCAAGTGATCATCCAAGAGGGTCAAAAGGTTGTTTGGGTAACTCAAGGGAACAAACTGTACCGGATTGCACCTGAGCATCTCAGACCACTGTCAGCCGTAGAAGAGTGGAAACAACATGAGCATTCCGGACAAGACACATCGCATGTGCACCAGGGTCAGTCAGTCGTGCCAAGACATGGGGGAGTCCAATTTCACAATCAAGCCATTCCCAATGAAAGCACAATAACTCAGAATGATCAGATATCACAAGCCCAAAGCCATAACCACCACCACCCAATAAATAATCCCCATAACTCCCCAAGTGTGATCAGCCAAGATCAGCCTGACCAAGAGCCATTGGGCGGAAGTCCAACTGTTCCATCCAGTGCGAGCAGTCATAGCCTGAGCCCTGGAACGCCCATGCTGTCAGAACATGCGGATGAACAAGTAGAGCAGCGGCCACCAAACCCGGTCGAGGTGCCCATTCCCATTGGTGACACTGATGATGAATTGTTCACCGATGTTCATGACTGTTTTCACTTGGAACATGATGAAGGATGGAAAATGGAAATAGACATATCACAACATGATATTGACCAATGGAAAAGGGAGACATGCCCAAAACACATGGCATTCGTAGCAACCGCTGCCAAAAGACAGCGGAGTGAGGTGAAGTTGTCTCAACTCACAGCCCAGGAGAAACAAATGTTTCAAGATGCCAAGACCAAAGAGATTGACAGCTGGTTGTCCACTGACACGGTCACGCGTGTGCTGAGACATCAAATACCAGAAGGAAATCTCATGCGGTGCCGATGGATTTTAACTTGGAAACCTGTTGACCCTAGTGAAAACACCACAGAGTCCGGGAAACCCAAACATGTTCCTAAGGCAAGATTGGTAGTACTGGGTTATGAAGACCCTTTGGTTCATGAAGTTCCCCGGGATAGTCCCACAATGTCAAAGCTGACCCGCATGCTCATACTCCAAACTGCTGCATCCAAAAGGTGGACAATCGAGTCATTTGACATTCGTACGGCCTTTCTCAGGGGAAGTGAAACGACAGGTAGGGTCTTGGGAATTGAACCTCCCACTGAAATGCGTGAAAGGATGAGACTGAAGCCTCATGAGGTCTTGAAACTGCTCAAAGGAGCATACGGCCGAGTGGATGCACCTTATTTGTGGTTCATGGAACTCAAATCAGGCCTGGAACAAGTAGGTTTTGTACAGAGTCCTTTTGATCCATGTGCTTTTGTTTTGCCACATCCCGAAAAGCAAACCACAGAGGGTATCCTTGGCGTCCACGTGGACGATGGCCTTTGCTGTGGCTCAGAGTTCTTTGCTCAGAAGCTTCAAGAGGTGGCTAAACGTTTTCCTTTTGGAAGTCACAAGAAACAGAATTTCACGTTCACCGGACTGAGAATAGAACAACAACCGGACTATTCCATCAACATCAATCAAACTCAATACATCAAAGATATTCACTCCATCGCAATCTCCAGAGAACGTAGAAGCCAACCCGAGGCAGTAGTGAGCGAAGCTGAACGCCAGTCACTGCGAGCCGTGATTGGATCGCTGCAGTATGCCGCAGTTAACACCAGACCGGATCTGTGTTCACGACTGAGCTGGCTGCAGAGTGAGATCAATCGGGCCAAAGTCAATACGTTGATAGAAGCCAATAGGATCTTACATGAAGCTAGGATACACGCCAATGTTCAGATTTCCATCAAAGCCATACCCATGAGTGATGTGAGATTTGTAGCATTTTCCGATGCCTCATTTGCCTCTCAGAAGACCACCAGCTCTCATCAAGGTATGGTAATCATGGCCTGTCACCAACAGATTGGTCAAAATCAGAAAAGTGATGTGAGTCCCATTGTTTGGCACTCAAAGAAAATTCAGAAGGTGGCAGTTAGCACTCTGTCCGCGGAAGCCATGTCATTAGCGGGGGCTGTGGATGTGTTGTCTTGGATTCGGTTATACTGGGGCTGGCTACATGATGTTAACCTACCCTGGAAACAAGCTGATCAGACTTTACTCAAATTACCCACCGCTTTTGCAGCCTTGATCCCAGAAGAAGAAGATGATGCTTACACCCCACCAGAAAAGGTTCAAGAAATGTTGAAAAGCCTTCCTAAAACCTCAGACGCCATAACAACCACCGACTGCAAATCTCTCTTCGATTTAATCAGCAGAACAGCACCGCCGTCATGTAGCGAGTTTAGAACTCAGTTGCAAGCAAGCTCGTCAAGGAACATCTTCAGAACGGAATACAGATCAGATGGGTACCATCAGGTGCACAGGTGGCTGACTCCCTCACGAAAATCATGGACAACACGATGTTAAGAGAATGCTTGCGATTGGGAAGATACAGCCTTCATGACGAAGCCGAAATCCTCAAAGCCCGATCCGACTCAAGGGCCAGGTTGCAGTGGATTCGAAATGGATCAGACAGCATGCAGGGATAGATAACTCCAAGCTTGAATATGGAAAATTTCAAATTATTTGACCTGTTTTTCGTTGCCAGTTATGCTTATCTTGAGGCAGCAACTCCAATGCAACATCTCGTGAAGAACACGAGAAGCCAGTTGGAGATCGGCCACTTTTATTTGTCGGAGCTAAATCCTTTGAATCTTGTTGCGTGCCTACGAACTTGGAATATCTGGGAAGACATGCTTGCGAACCAACCGGGACATGCTGGAACTTTTTTAGAATGTTGGGAATGTGAAATCCCTGCCAGTTCCACATGTCTTCCACTATGCATCTGCCCATCCATCCAGGATGATACCAATGCCCATTGCCTCTCCGCAGCCAGGGGATAGGCTCAGGGAGCGCGGTGGGAGGGCTCGGCTTTAGCCATAGCTTCGCAGGGCCGGAGCTGGACAAATCGTTGGAGGAAAAGACACGGTGTGTCAAAGCGGCCAGCAGGGCTGGAGGAGGAGTTGAAAGGGATAGGCCGCTACCAGTTTGAGAGTATATATATATATGTATATGTATATGTATATGTATATGTATATGTATATATGTGTATATGTATATGAATATGAATATGAATATAATATAATATAATGTAATATAATGTAATATAATACAATGTAATATAATATAATATAATATAATATAATATAATTTAATATAATATACTGTAATATAATATAATATAACATAACATAATATAATATAATATAATATAATATAATATACATACACATGGGATATACATATTATATACAGAGACAACATTGGCCAAGAATATTTGAGCCCTTGAAGTGTCCCAGGTCACTACCGCGCCGCCGGAAAGATGCTGGGCCAGTTCGAGGGTCAGCTTGGAACACGCCTGTGGATTGCGCCACCCACCAAGATGGATGAGGAGACGAGAGCTGGATGGAAAGCTTGTGCCATGTGTTTACCACTGGTGATGAAAGGGACATTTCACCAATATGGGGATTAAACATCAAATATATGAGGATATAATATAACTTAACTGGAAAATGATAAATGATGGTTGGTTGATGATTTACCACAATTTTGAGGGGTTTTTCAGGATCATTTATATGAGTATATAGTCGCGACATGTTTGGATACAATGGATAAGTTATGGTTGGTTCGATTAGGTCAGGGGGTATGGACTTAGCCTTGATACAGTGGGGACCATCATAATCCATGAACTGGGAATCCGGTTCTTAATCAACCAGGATTATATGAATGAACTATTCATGTTGTAATCCCAAGAATTAATTCATCAACCATCTCCGCTCATCAGAAAGGGATGCTTTTTGGACCAATGAAGAATATTTCTAATACGAATATAAACATTTGTTATGTAGTTCTGGCTTTACCACACTAATTGATCAACCAAACAGTCAGTCAAGCCGTCAGCTCATCAGTCAATGGATGAATCTGACCAAAGAATCAGTCAACCAGAAGAGATGAGGAAACACTAAACCATGCGGCTGAAGTGTGACCTGTAAACATTTGTTAGTCCATTGAATGCCCATGAAATGCGATTACATCCCATTAAATCCCATTAAATCGCATTAAGTTCTGAGTAAATCGAAGTTTGGAGGGTCTTGTTTTGAGTAAACTCATTGGAAGCCGTGAACTCCAGCGTCATGCCCCGATCGGTCTGTTCCTACCGAAATTCAAACCGATGGGCAAATATCGGATGATCCCCATGAAGTTGGTGAACAGGTTCCAAATGAATATCCAGGTCTTGCATGTGTGTGTATATATATATATACACATCCTCCAGTAAATTAGTATGACGACCCTGCCATGAGATGGGGTTGGATGATTGGTTTCCAGTGAAAATTGGTGATTTTCTGGGTCTATGTTAATATACCAGATGGTAACATCCCATTAATCACCATTTATCATTATGAAAAGCATAAAATAACCACTATTAACCATCACCATGAATCAACCATATTGATCTATCCATCCCATTAATCACCATTCATCATTAACTAACCATCATTCACCACTAGCTATTCATGGATGTTTCATGGATGAATTATCATATATATATATAGATATTAACCATCATCAACCATTATTTTCATGGATGATACAACCATTAATAACCACTAACCATCATTATTAACTATTAAATGACATATCCTCCAGTAAATTGACATGACGACCCTGCCATGGCTTGGGGTTGGATGATTGGTTTCCACTGACCATCTCCCAGGAGCAGTTGACCAAGGAGGGCTACTACTCCGTCTACGGCAAGGCTGGCGCCCGCACAGAGATGCCCGGCTGCTCCTTGTGCATGGGCAACCAGGCGGCGGCGCCGGCGCTGGGATGATGTGGGATGAGGGTTTCCATGGCAGGGGCCCAAAAAGGGATGGTTTATACTGGAAAATCCCAGTAAAATGGATGATGAAATGGGGTACCCCCATGTTAGCAAACCTCCAGAATATATATATATATAAGTATATATAAGTATATATAAATCTAGAAATGGGATGATTAACTAATCAACTTGATGTGGTATTTGGATGTGTCTGAAAATGGGCTATCACCCCAAGAACTGTGAATTTTACAAGGGGAATGATAATAAACCAGATGGGGTATCCTATTTTGAGAGACAGACACACACACAGACATATATATATATAATATATATATATATACATGCATAGATAGAACAGGTTCAATGTATCACTACTTTAGTATGTTTTCGCCTTTCTATCTTTTTGGGGTTGTCAATATGCACTGCAATTTAGCAACAAATAAGACAATGTAACATTGGAATTCTCTCAGTTTGATGGACTTCTTCCCCATTTTCAATGGCATAAACCACTAAAATCCCACGAAAATCCCATGAAATCCCAGCAAACCCCATTCATTCCCTGTTTGTTGATGGTTCAATTCCTATTTCTTGGCGAATTTTGAAAAGGCGCGCGTGGCCGACAACGCCACAGTGGTGTCCACCTCCACCCGTAACTTCCCCAACCGCTTGGGAAAAGGCGCTGTTCGGTCGACTCCGAACGGTTTGGGGACAGGGCATGGCATGGTGGGAAGGCTTTTCCCTCCGTGGTAAATCTGTATAACCTATACATCATCAATGCTATTGATCATTAATCTAACTGGGGTATTTCAGAAATGGTTGTTGCTTAAGGATCCTAATTAGATGCACCCCCAAGTGGTAGTGGTTGTCTTGCCAGGAAAGGAACACTGAAACAGGGTGAAAATCCGGAGAGTAACCCTTGAGATCTACATTTTTTCAGGAATCCCATGTGTTGAAGGCAGCCCGTAGTTTGCGCTACTTTTCCCTTGAAGCAAATCCATCACCCTTACCAGAAAGGCATGGTTTGTAAAGGGAATTTTCCGCCACATATCGCAACATTTGATGGGACATAGTGAAATATGACACTCTATTGAAACATATTTATATATACCCATTTGTTTTCCCCCAGCAAGGTGACTCCCCCCCACAATAGATGGTTAAGGTCCGCTGTTCTTCGTGCTTGTTGGTGAATAAATCCCGGATAAAGCCTTATAATTGGTGGTGGTCACCTTAATGATGATGACATTTCTCCCCAGGCCATCATTCATAGCTGAAATTCCCATCTCCCAATCTATTCCCACGAAATCACCAGTTCTTCCCAGTTTCCCTAGAGAAATCACCATTTCTTCCCAGATTTTCCTAGTGAAATCACTATTCTTCCATGGATTTCCCAGCTTTTTCCTAGGTATTTTCCCCAGCTTTACCCAAACCAGGCGCCAATGTCTTCCTGGCCTCCGCAGAGTTGGCTTCCGTGGCGGCCATTCTGGGCCGACTGCCAACCCCAGATGCAGCTTGCACCAAGGGGGATGGGGTTTTCGCAGAACAATGGGGGGATTTCCATGGGATTTTCGAGGGCTTTTAGTGAGATGTAATCTGATATATATTATAATTGGATATAGTTGATGATAGTTGATGATAGTTGATGATAGTTGATGATAGTTGATGATAGTTGATGATAGTTGATGATAGTTGATGATAGTTGATGCTTCCATGGGATGTAATGAGTTTTCTTCTATGGATTATGGTGGGTTATATGGTGCATAGTGGATAGTGGGAGGTTATAGATATGGATGCAAATGATTACAGTGGATTGCCCTCCACCCAAATTTAGAGGATACTTCCCAATAACCTCAGGCTGCATTTCCCTTCAATTCTGGGAGATGGTGATGGAACCTGAAGAAAAGGGGGCGCCAGGTACATGATTTTTACCGCCCTGGATATGGAGATGTTGGGCGTTGGGGGTCAGGGTAGCCCTTGGCTGAGGAATATCTCAAGTACCACTCCGAGCTGGCCAAGAATGAGGATTCCATCTACCAGTACCTGAACTTCGATCAGGCAGAATTGTGATTTGCTGAAGCACCGAATGTTTCAAGGCTTTCCGAATCTCCGAAACATGGGTGAACAACCCCTGACTTTGACATGCTTTGATCGTATCATTGATGCTAAACATTAAACAAATCAGTTCCTGAGTTCCCGCCCCTTTTTCCGGGAGAACCGAGCCCTTGTGATTGCGGGAGGTCGAGGAGTATGTGGAGAAGGCAAACTCCGTGAATATGAGCGAGCTCGCATAGCCGGCCTAGCCGACCTAGCCGGAGTCACAGCAGGCCCTTTGGGTTTCCCAGTGGTTTTGATGACTGACTGGGGTAGTAGAACGGTAATATGTCTGATATGTCTGACCTGAAAATGGCTTGGATTTACCCTGCAATGGGCACAACCCCTTTTTAGATTTTTTTTGGGACCAAGTTTTTCAGACAAACTTCAGACAAACCCGTGCGTTAGAAATGGTCAAAGTTGGACTGCACACCCATATTGTGGAATGGTCATACCACCATTAAAAGCAGGAAATATCATTGCCAACTATTAGGGGATTCCATATTTTAATGGTGCGATGGCATGCGATGGCCAGGAACCCAACCCAGCTTTTCACCATGGCACATAGTTTTAGACCAACTTTTTGTGGGTCAAAAACTGTACCCAGCTTTTGACAGCGCCTATGTTTTGCGATGGTTTGTATGTTGGAAGATGCTAGCAGCTTCTAATCACTGTTGGAAGATGTTTGTTTGGGGGAAAATCACTAAAAACCCTGAAATCAGCAGGTTTGACGGCTGAACATGTGGCTTGAAAATCTGGTTTGTTTGATGGAAACCCATTCAAACGGTGGTAAAATCCTTTTTCTTTCTGTCGGTTTTCTGTGATGAATTTCGCCCGTGCAGACTGCAGACTGGCTTCTCTCCAGATCTAACCACCGTTCGAGAAGCTTGACTTGATTTTCTTTCTTTTTTGTTAGCAGGGACTTGTGGCTATGGGCTGTGGGCTATCACCAATTTCAATGGAATGACTTGGTCTTTAGACCCAAATTTTAGGATTTCCATGTGGATTTCCATGGATTTTGGGCGAGAAAACCCAAGGATCTTGTGGTCGCATGGAGAGCAGCCGGTGAGTGCAGCTTTTGCACAGCGGCCTGTATTGTATGTACTGCCACAGCATTCCACATTCAAATCCGTGTGCTAATTACTTATAATACACAGTGCATATTACAACTATAACATCTGTATATACATATGCACAGATATTGAGGGTATGGAGATTTACACACTTTTTCGGAGTTGTCTTTTGAATAAGGATGTGAAGTCGACTCTGCGTGCGATGTGGGACCGCACCATTGCTTTATCCCCAGTTTTCACCATTTTAATGTTCCGTCTTGAGACTGACGTATTGCCCTTTGTCAGGAGCGGGAAAAAATGGGACTCGATCCTGTGTGATGGTCAAGTGCCCTTTGAGCCTTAGGAGGCTCAGTTGTATACAGGGATCAGTATTTTTCACTGCCACTTGTCACTTGTGATCCATCTTCCATCCAACTTCTATCCAACTATATTTTTCGGCTCAAAGGGGTTTCTGAGAGAAACCGTGTTGTAACGTTGCCCACAGTGCTTCTTCTATTATCACTACCAGTCACTACTTTTGTATCGTGGAGATGATGCTCTCCAAGTTCCCATGGAGATTTGCCGAGTCGATGGAGTTTTTTTTCATTTTTCGGTTGAGGAAGACATCCACCATTCATTCTTGACATCTACCTGTTGAAGATGTATTTTTTGAGTACTGTTGCACTGTTGCATTTTTTTATGGTTAAAAATTAGTGTCATGATCAGTATCTTTATCACCATTACTATCGTTCTTAGTATCATTATCAGTATCTTTATCACGATTTTCCTTCTTCTTACGATTAGATTGTGAATGCTATGATGATGATGATGATGAATATATATATATACATACATACGTATATATATTATATTATATATACATCATAACATATATATATATATATTATAGATTATATGTAATATAACATGATATATATATATATAATATGATATATATATATATGTATATGATATGATAATATATATATATAATATAATATAATATAATATAATGTAATATACCCTCTGGTAAATAAACATAGTCCCTGAAAATCACCAATTTTTAATGGAAACTAGTCTTCCAACCCCTAGCTGCCAGGGTCTATGTTAATTTACCAGAGGGTATAATATAATATAATATAATATAATATAATATATCATATATAATATAATATAGTATATTATGATATGATTTGATATGATATAATATGATATAATAAAATATAAGACAAGATAATATAATATATATATATTATATTATATTATATTATATTATATCATATCATATTATATTATATTATATCATATTATATTACATTATATTATATTATATCATATCATGTCATATCATATCATATTATATTCTATTATATTCTATTATATTTTATTATATTACATTACATTATATTATAATATATAATATAATATAATATAATATAACATAATATAATATAATATAATATAATATAATATATAATATATAATATATAATATATATATATCCCTATTCCAATTCCTATTCGAGTCACTTTGCGACGAGAACCGCCCGCACCCGGGGAATAGGACGGAGAGGAAAGAAGTGGGCCCACTTGCCCCAACCAAGAGCCGACTGGGGTCAAACTTGGACCTTGGCCTTAAGGTGGGCCGAACAGTTGCCCACTTGGGCCCAACTTGTGCGTAACTTGCACCGAACTCGGGCCAGTTCGCTCTAACTTGGGCCCAACTTGAGCCCAACTGGGGCCCAACATGGCGCAACTTGGGCGCGTTTGGGCGCAAGTTGGGCTTAGCACGCGTAACTTGGTCCTGTGGGGGCATCTGGCGCCGAAGTTGGGCCCAAGACAAGCTTGGGCCCGTTGCGCTGTCTTGGGCCCAATAGGAGCACAAGCGGGCGAAAATTGGCCATGTTGGGTATGGCCTCCAAATTGAAGCCATGTGATGCACATGGAAGTCCAAGTCAGTTCTAAGATGCCGCAACTCACCTTTGGCGACAGCATCACACCAAGCGCCTGACGGAGACACAATATGGGGAACATTAGCGTCATCGATAGCAAAAAACGTGGAAAATACTAGTGAAAACGGGCGTTTTGAGGATTTCGGATTGGGCCGGCTATGTCCCCCATCTTGAAGCCATATGGACTTCAACTGGCCGAAGTTGCGCCATCTTGGAGCCAAGTTGGGCCGAAGTTGGGGCCTTGCTGGCCGAAGTTGACCCCAAGTCGGGTTGCGGCCAACTTGGATCGAAAGGGTCCACTTGGGCGATTTTGGACCGATCTGCAAAATGTGCAAATAACCACAGTCCCAATCCCGTGATCTTTTTTTGCGGTCTGCTCCCTTCGAAAATGCAACCCCCCCGGTATACCAGTCTGACAGATCTGTCCGGTCGCATCCACTGCTAAGCTACCACGCCTCGGCACCTTCGGTGCGGGCAGATTTATCTCAAACGGCCCCGGTTCGGATCAACGGCCCCCACAGGTTTCTGGGCCTAATGGCCCTGGTCTCATCCTCCGAGCTCCCAGACGATGAGTGCTCCGACAATGGTGATGGCAGCTGCGCCTTGAACGCGCTGCAGCTTCGAGGAATGTCGATGTCATCAGATCTCTCCAATAGCTCGGAAGAAGGACCAGGGCTGCCTTGGTGCTCGAAATGATACTAATGCTGACGATGACAATGATAATGACAAGAACGACGAAAATGAAATAATGACATTAATGATAGTAATGGCAATAATGATAATAAAGAGAGCTATGATAATTTTTGCAATAGTAACGATAATTTAATGATAATCATGGTAATAACGATAATCATTAGAACAAAGTTAAAAATGATCAGGATAATATATGGGTGATAATGTTCACAACAGTTATATTCACAGATATTTACAGTAAGAATCCTAATAACGATCTTGATAATGATGACAATAGTGATGCATGATTCATGATGCAAAATGGGTATATCGTGTTGCATCACTGGTATCGGTTCAAACGTTTCAGACAGCTAATATCATGGGGACATTGCTGTTGTCATGATATATCATGTGTGTAGTGTACGGGATGTTTTTGATGGCCACATGAACTACCCCTAAATTTAACATGGCACTTTAAAAATGGGGTTTGGAAGATGATTCTCCCACTGGATTTCGGAATTTTGGGGTTCCATGGGATTCTAAAAATTGAGGGCAAAAAACTTGAACCCCCAGGAAGCAAATGTGCCCCCTTGAGCGATCCGTCCAATTCGGTTTGCGCGCCGGTGGTGAGATGGGCCTCGAGGGGAGGGCAATACGATCCCCATGCGAATGATTGGTTTGAGGACATGCAGGACGCTTGGATTGGTGTGATTTTGCTTTCCCCCGCTTTCCATTTTCATGATTTACCGTTTTTTACCGTACTTTTTCACCTTTTTCATGATTTATGTATTTTTTTTGATGTTCATCATTTTCCATGTCTTTTTTTTTTGGGCCATCCGTGAGTTGATTCGTCGCAGGACATTTCAGGCGTCGACTTTCACCACGCCAGCCTGGGCGATTGGCAGAAATTGTATTTCTGCGCCCCACCCGGGGGAAAGCAGTGCGGCACCCCGCCGTGCCAGTGCTCCAATCCGCCCTGTGACGTCTGCTACAACGGCAACGGTGGTGGTGCCTCTGCAACAAAAGGGTGTGGAGCAGATCCCGACAGCATCAGCTGCAAGCCTCCAAAGAAGGCTCTAGATGCTTGTAGGTTGCTGAAGATGCCCCGATTTTTTTTTTTGAACATCCGGGGGGAATCTCTTTTTGGGAACCTTCTTGATATGGCTTTAATCCGCCAGAAATGGGGAAAAGTCTGCCCTGAGAAAATCCAAGGACTACAACGGAAAGGCCTGGGATCCAATGAGTGTGCCAGGCTATGGTCCCTTCCACGTTTTTGCCATTGGTGCCCTGGATGCAAAAGAGGTGATTGATTGAGATATACTAATTTGTTGAAAACTGTAATATATACAATATAGGCTACACAATGCTACACATACATTTATCTAATTGTAGGAACAGAACAGAGATTGAGGATCAAATCGGGTATCACGCTGGTGTGCTCCCCACCCCTTTCTCGTCATCTCAGGCGATTGGGGAGGCATGGATGGGACTCTGCGCACCATCGAGGGGCGCCCTGAACTCATCGCCTATCCCCAGGGCGTGAAGTCTGGACCCAGCGTCTTCCCGCGCACGCGTTGGAACAAGGCACATACGAAGGAGCTCTGTGACCACAAGCAGTTCGTGGCCTGCTACACCACCATGGGGAGGCTGTGTGATCCTGGATGTGGCTTCGTCAAGGCAGGTTGAATATTGGTCGGGAAAGAAACACACAGAAAACAGTTGAAGCTTTTATGAAGCAACGAAAAAATGAAAGATAGAGATAATTATATGAAGTGGGCATGGACACAAGAAAAGCTGGGAGAGAGAGAGAGTTTTTACGGACCACATGCGTCTTATCCACTAGACCATACCGGCCCTCACACAAGAAAAACCGGGACTCTATGGTAAATGTGCCCTTCAAACGTTGGTGATTTCATCGCTATCACTCAGGGCATTGATGATCAACCACAGATCTTGGTGGCCAAATCTTTGAAGATGCGTGCTGCCAAGATGGATCCGGCCTTTATTTTAAACGTGGGCGACAATTTCTACTGGGGTGGGATTGAGAAGACTTGCGGCACCCCAATGAACGAGCTGTCCTACACCGCGCACCATCAGTTCAACCAGATTTTTGAAGGAGTTTACAACGGCAAGGGGTTGGATGGCAAGGCACGCCAGTTTGGGAGGCATCATAACTTGGCCGGATTTGGATTTAGATTTTGGATACTTGTAGAAACAGCGATCATGATCTAGCAGAAAAATGGCAGCACGCAAAACTTGGAGATCTGAATACCCAAGAATCTGACCCCAAAAAATATGGTTGGCTTTTCAAGTCAGTCCAGTCAGACGTGTTATTTTCCGGAGCCGTTGCGGTTCCCCGACTCTCCGTTGCTCTCGTTACCAGGTCTGGCTGAGCGTCTTGGGCAACCACGACTGGGGAGGCCGTGTTTTTAACAACGGCTGGGACCAGCAGATTGCCTACACCTGGAAATCCAATCGCTGGCGCCTTCCTGCGGCCTACTGGAGCCAGCATGTCGACTTCCCGGATGTGGCTCTGGATTAAAAATTGGGTTTGGGGGGATGGAGCAAGTTGAAATGGTGATCTAAGATGATTTCATGTGATTGTGAAACCATCCAATCTTGAGGCGGAAATTTGGAGTTTACCATGTTAGTTGGTCATAGCGTACCCTTATCCATTTGGAGGTAACCTATTTGGAATAATTTATCATAGGAATGATTGGCAAGCATGGGAATGACGCTGGACATTTTGACATTTTGGACCAGACCATACCCAAATATTGGCCATACACACACACACACCATGCACACACCGACTTCTGAAAAAAAGATTACACGGTAATCGGCCACTTGTGGTTGCTATACCGGGCTATACCCCACAAAGAGATCCAACAAAACAAGGTTCAAATCCCCGGGATATCTCCCATGACTTTGTACGGTTGCAGAGCTTGCCCATCTGGTGACATCCCGAGGATCTCCCCGTTTTAAAATTTCCACAAGCCATTTGTGCTTGGTAAAATCCAACATCATATCCTGAGCCTGTATCATACTGGATCATATCCTGTTAGTTTCTGAAATATCATGATATCCCTATGGGTAGGCAAACCATCTACATGCCGGTCCGAGGGTATCATCCCATGTCAGGGTGCGATCTCATTGGTTGTCCAATCGCTGCCCCGGGACCGTGACCGTTCCCATCTTTCCTTTCAAACAATATTTGTTTTTTAAAATCCTGTGCTTCCCATCTGATGATCCTTCCATGCTTCGATCTGGGTTCTCTCCCGTCCAAGTCCTGGTATTCCCATTATTGCCTCCATAATTCAATTTATATTCCATCTATGACTTTCCTATGATTCCAATTTTAATAGGAACGATGATTAGTATAATACCAATAAACATGATCCCAGTCATATTTCAACTCATATTTATAGTCGTTTCCATTCAAAACCATCTAGCTTTTCTCTGAACTGACCTGAGGTCGGCTTTTCCATGGACATTTAATAGCTATAATTATATATATATATATTCCTATTGCAAATCCTTCCTATCATTTCCAAAATCCTCTCCCAATACCAATCCCATCCCAATCATCCTCCCAGCATCCCCATCCCGAGCTCAAGCAGTGGTCAAAAAAATCATGGTCGCTACAAGGATTATTTGATGGTAATAGATGGAAAATTCATGCAATAAATCATCACAATTACTAATTAGTACCATGAAATCATCCATGAAATCATCCATGAAATCATCCATAAATCATCCATAAATCATCCAGCCAAAATCATCATCCCCAATCCCCAGCAGGCCGGCTTCTCCATGGACATCTTCATGGTGGATTCCAACGCCATGGACGCCAAGGACTTAGACAAGGACTCGGAGCACAACATCTGCGGTGAGGAGCACAACCCGCCGGGCGCCACCTGCGCCTCCGCAGGACCGGCAGAGGGGAATCACTTGGGGGGGGGTGAATCTCATGTTAATAATAGGTAAACTGTTGATGTTTTTCTAAGATATATATGGATATGATATATATATATATATATGGATATATATATATATATATGAATATATATATATATTAATACATATATATATATAAATATCATATATATATGGTATATTTCTATGAATGGTCATATATTGATATGATCAATGAATATCATCATAGGATTAATATCTTGCCATTTTCATATGGCTTTTTGGGTGACAGGGATTTCCCATGACCTGGGATGTGGGAGATCTTGCACCAAGAATCTGATTTTTTTTGGGTAAATTTTCCCATAAAGTTGGGGAATTCATAGGGGAATATCAGTGAATATAGGAGCTACGATAGGGGTCATCTTTTTAGCCATTCATAGGTGTTAACATATACCCATGAGCCATGGCACCAATTGATTCGATTGGAGTTGGAGCTTTTTAAAATTAAGTTCTATTCAGAGAACTCTGAGAGTGGGTTCTGGAATTGTGTTTTTGACTGTTTTCCCAATTTCTGGATGTGTCTCGATGGTTTGTGGGTCTCCTCGTTTCTGTCTACCTTTAGTCACAACGCATGCCTTTACGAATCTTCTTGAAATATATTATATACAGTTACTGTATTTGCTACTATCCAGTCACGCACTCAGACTATACCCGGCCGTATGAGCTAGCAGCAATATTGTCAATCTTGGAAGAATCTTGACGCGTCCACGCACTAACTTATACCCTTTGGATCCCTTTGGCAATTTAACACATAGCAATGGCAAACGGAAAAAACTTGTTCCATTTATAGATGATTTACATATTGAATATGATGATTCTCAATAGCCATGTTCAATTCCCATAGGCTAAATCCCATTCTATTCCCATTAAATTCCCATGGAAATCTAGATATTTTACCTTTTTTTCATCCCATGACATCTAGATATTTTTCATGGGATTTCCCATGGATTTCCCATACTTCGGCTATGTAGCCATGACCAGAAATCCCACCAGACATCCCGGAAGGATTGGCCCCCAGTCGCAGGTGGCCCCACGGACTTGGGCTCCTGCAAGCAGTGGTTCTGGGACCTCTGGGCAGCCAACAAGGTGGAGCCCGGGTGGAGCCCTGAAAAACTCATGATCCGAGTGGTGAAAGATCCATGAATAATGGTGAAAATAGTGGTTAGTAATGGTTAATAGTGGTGAATGATGGTTAATAATGGTTAATCATGATGGTTTTTGTGGTTAATAATGGTGAATCATCCACTATAACTCATGATCCTAGTGGTGAATGATGGTGAAAATCGTGGTTTATAATGATTATTATAATGGTTAATAATGGTGAACATAGTGGTTTATACGGGTTTACAATGGTTAATAATGGTTTATGAAACATCAATGAATGATGGTTAATTAATTAATAGTGGTTAGTTAATGATGGTTAATAGTGGTTATTTGATGCTTTTCATCATGTTGATAATTAGTGATAATGGTGATGACCATGGTTAATTAACCATCATCATTAACCATCATCTATGAATCATCATCCATGAATGGTGATGGTGATGAATGGCGATTATTAAGAGTGGAACATTAATGATGTTTGAATGATTGATGATTAATATGTTCATCACCACTATTTCCATGACTTTCATCCTATGTTTAATTAATGATGCTTATATAATAGTGGTTCATAGTGCTTTTCGATGAATGGTGATGAAGGGTGATCAATGGGATGGTAGCCTCTGGTCTCATCTTCCAAAAAAACGATGACTGCCAGGGTCGAAGTCGATAGAAAGAATCCCATTACTGATGGTTATTTTTGTAATTAATTGAAGCAACTCAATATTTGATGTTGATTTGGTCATCAATATTCCATCATCCATTCATTATCCCATGAACAATGCCCCCATATCATATCCCATTAATTCTAGTTGTATATATATATATTTTCCAGACCATAATCATGTAGTTAACATGATATCATATCCACATAATCATGCACCATATCCATTAATGTGGTAAAGCCAATGCCATGAAGCTACCATTTGGGGATGGTTTGTACAAGCCATGAAAATGGTGATGACTTTGGGGGTAGTTTATGATTGGGTTTACCACATTAGCTGTTGTTTTGAAAAGGGATTGAAAACAACATATGGACATTCAGCCATAGTCTTTAAAAGGGCGGTCCTGTCCCTGACGTGGTCTCAAAGAGATTTGTCGGGAGACCATGGTATTCTGTCCTACCAGCTGAACAGTGGCACATTGAGCAATCCTTCAATTTGATTGAGGATACCCTCTCTCAACCAAACATGGCAACGAGAAATCCCCTATAAATCGAGGTCTTATTGGAAAATCCATCAGGAATTCCTCCTATTGCCATGTTTGGTGACCGGAGGATATCCTTGTGATGATATCACAGCTACCCCAAATTTTGGATCTGATTTAAGGATATCAAACAGCTCTTGTTTCTATCAACATCCATAGGAAACAACTGTGCTTGATACTGACATCTGAAATTTCCCTTGAACCCTTCTATCGAAACAGGTCTTTGACCATTTGGTGGTTATTCCTCATTGTATAGATCAAATTATCTATATGTCTATGTATATGTCTATGCATGTTGAATGTCTTATATGTACATCAAATATCCCTGGTTACATCAACTTCTATTATCTATCCCCCATCTTCCAGTTAGAGGAACTGGTCCTGGTCTCATATAGGAGCTCCATTGACGTGACTAAGAACCGGTGCTTCATTAAAGGGAATGGTCCCAAACGTGGCCCCTCCGGTTTGGGCAAATGCTTACATTCATCTGCAGATGGGCTTGTGAATCAATCAAAACATATATGATTAATTAATTATTGTACATATATATATATATATTATATAATCACAATACATATTCTATTAATTATATGTATGTAATACATATAATTGATATAATATGTATATTTTAGGGTAGACAGCATTGAAGACCGTGGTTTCCTGCTACTTTCCACTGTATCTTCATGAAATCCATTATATTCCACTACATCCCATTATATGTCGATGATATCCCATTATATCCCAGTTATATCCCCATTATCTAATATTGTACATGTATATGAATGTATATATATATACTCTTGATGGAAAAAGATCCTGCATCACCTTGGATGGTTGAAACCCGTATATATAATGGGATAAACCACCTATCAACTGGGTGCAGGATTTCTTCCATCCACAGCACTTACATAGATATAGATATATATATATGTATACATATATATATATATACATACATATATATATATATATACACATCCATAGCATCAAAAAACAAGCCATTTCTTCGCCACAGCGACTGCGACTTCAGGCTTGGCTGGCCGAAGGGCTCAGCAAGTCCAAGGCAGACTGGCAGGTGGCAGTGACCCACTTCCCCTGTGGCCACGAATCCGGCTTCTATGTGCCTTGGTCGCTGAACATGGGGGACAAAACCAACCAAACATGGAGGTTTAATCATCAAAAATGGTGGCTTAGACTTGTCCCAAAACCCAACAAGATGGGGTATAGAAAACATTACATTTTCAGCATCAAAAAGACCTGCAAATCAAGAATTGAAACAGCAAACAATGGGGATTTGTATTCAAAAAGCCATTGTGTTTTTTCGTTGCCATTAGATTGCAAGAGGGTAAGTAAACTATCCCAAAAGATGGGGTATAAAGTCCCAAAATGGGAATCAAATCTGCAGACGTGTATGGGTGGAACAAACCCTGCTGCACTCACAGAGTTATGTGATATTTTCGACCATTTACCCAACCGTTTTTATGGGTTTATTCCCCTTCATATCCCCATGATACCCATTTTTGTTGGCGAAGTCACCACATTTTCCCATGGTTTCCCAGATTTTCCCGGAAACTCCCATGGGTTTCCCATGTCCCAACAGTTGAGGTGAGTATGCACCAACAGCGCCTTGGGATGTAATTAATGATATGGCTTTGTCTATTTTCTTAGGGGATCTCCGCTTAAATACGAATTCTTACATATGGGGAAATTATTATCAATTGGAATTGGGGGTAGCCTAGGCTGTCAAAGAAATCCTTTTTTGATTCATGGGATGTTTCATCATGTGGCCTATTGGACTTCACCAATAAGAATATGGGATGAGGATTTGGGTTATACCATCTGGTAATTTAACATAGCTATTGAAAATGGCCCATTTATAGTGGATTTTCCCATTAAAAATGGTGATTTTCCATAGCTATGTTAGTTTACCAGAGGGTATAATGCGATATTGGAATGATATGGAATGACCCTAAAATGATCATGGGTAGGTCATGGGCATATACTAGGGATATTAGCAAGCAACAATATGAAATTGTGCTTTGCCACAAAGTTGAGGATATCCCAAAATTGGATTCTCGCCGCGGGAAAGGAAGCTAAACCATGCAAAACCACTGGATTTTCGGGGTACCTTACTGACCTTTGGACAAACTCCTTTATTTCAACAAAGTGAGGAGATGAAACAATGAAAGCACGGGTGTTTGGTCCAAACGCGACCCAAAATTAAAATTGGTAAGACACAATGAATTCTGTGCAACATCCTTTTTTGGATGTTCACCAGGGTACCAAGCACCAGTACGTAAAAATTCAAATCAATGTCTATACATAGACATATGCTGGCATGCGTTTAAATATTTGTAGATATTGTAACAGTGTCAATATCACCATTAGCATCCGCACGGATATGAATATATAAATATATCATGTATGTATATTCGTGTATTCTTACACATATTGATATATATATATATAAATACATATATGAATATGTAAATGTGAATGTATATGTATATGCATACGTATATGCATGTGTATACATCTACAATCTATCTATCTATCTATCTATCCCTTGGTTTCGCAGGTACGGCTTGGACCTGCTGGTCACCGGACATCGACACGATCAGGAGCTCTGGAGTCCCAACAGGTGGCCAGGAAAAACCATGGGAAACCCATGGGAAACCCATGGGAAAACCATGGGAAACCCATGGGAAAACCATGGGAAACCCATGGGAAAACCATGGGAAACCATGGGAAAAGCATGGGAAAACCATGGGGAAATGAACAGCATAGGATATAATGGGGATAGAATGGGGATAGAATGGGGATATAATGGGGATAGAATGGAACAGCGGTGGCGATATTTTGGAAGATGGCGTAGATTTACCGTGTGGTAATTTACAGGAACTATGGTCAGTCACTATTTTTTGAGAGGTATATAAATCACCTACCCACCGAGAAATCGGATGGCCACAGGGTCCCGAAAACCAGGTATGATTCATGGCATGCAACATCTACATTTATATTCACCTCTCCCCTTAGTTCTAATGTTTTTTAAACTTGAAAAAAAAAGCAAAAAAAAGGAAACCACATGGAAAATCAAAAAGCAAAACTTCAAAACCGAAAAAAACAGGAAGCAAAATACATGGGAAAACAAAGGAACGTCAAAAAGGGTGAAAAAATGGGGAAAACATGGACTTGTCCATTTGCATTTTTGTTGCTTTTTCGATTTGCTTTTTTGCTTTTTTATTTTTTGCTTTTTTTTTTTTTGCTTTTTTTTTTGCTTTTTTTTTTTTGCTTTTTTCCTGGAAAAAAGGCAAAATAAAAGCAAACACAAAGCAAATCGAAAAAGCAAAAAAAAAACAACAAAAATGCAAATGGACTTGTCCATTTTTTTCCCATTTTTTCCCCTTTTTGTCTTTCCTTTTTTTTTTCCTTTTGTTTTGCTTTTGTGTTTTTTTGGATTTTGCTGATTTGCTTTTTTGTTTTTCCATTTTTTTTGCATTTTTCGCGCTTTTTTTCAAGTTTTAAAAAATAAGAATTAACGGTGGTTTGGTGAACTTAAATCTACATGTGACAACTTAGATGGTTTGCCCTCCAGGGAATCTGACTGTTTGCCGGCTGGAACGTATCATTACATGCTTCTCATTTCTAGATGGAATTTTCTTCTTCAAGGTGGATTTTTTACATTACCAGCTTTGTTTACCAGAGGGTAACCGCAAAAAATGTAGCGCGGGTCAGATACTGTCGAATCTCAACAGGTCTTAAAGGAAGAAGCGACCTCGGTTTGATTTGGGCATCAAGGTTTTCTGCACTTTTGCACTGACTTTCGCCCTTGAAAGGTAGTGCGAACACTTTGGGTTGTCACCTTAAGTGATGGACTAAAGTTTGGTGTCTTTTCTTTGGTCCTACTTTTTTTCTTGACGTTGCGGTCCCTACTTCTGAGAAACAAGCATGGACCATGCAACTGATGAACAGAACACCCAAATTATTTTTGATCCCATGGAAGGGCTGAGATCCTTTGTGTCATGGTAGGGGTTTGAGCCAAACTTCCCTTCAGCATGAGCTGGGTTTGTCCAAGAATGCGAACTACAGTGCTCCATTTTATACCAATCTAACAGGAGGTACCCAATTTATCGGCAAATCTAACTATCAACCTTAGGTATTTGCATGTATTTGCCATGACGAAGTCATCTCCAGAATTGATTGCACCTCATCAGGCAGCTGATCTGAAAACTCATAATTTGATGCCTCCCCAAACTGGGGGGTGGAATAGTTCTTTTTGGTTGGTAATGACAATCTTCGGGTTCCCTGTTTGATTCATCGGCTGTATCGGCTTTTGTGAAGTTCTGACCTGAGCACAGAGCTCAACTTCGGCTTTGTCTAGTAGTTAGGAACGTGTATGTTGACAAATGTCCGGTGCACACCATGGCTACGTGGATCCAGCATCTACCGACGAAGGTGCAGCAGATGAAACTGATGAGGTCGATCTTCAGGTGCTCTGCATGACTGGAGAAGGAGTGAGATTAAACGTCCTCCGCTCTATGTTGGGGTATGACCTGCGCAGATTGGTGTCGGAGAAGTTTCCATGCAAGCCAGGCGCAAAGCTCGCTGTCTATCACGGAAATGCAAAGCTGGCACTGAATCAAACCTTGGGAGAGCAAGGGATGGTTGGAACATCGGCAACACTTTCCTGCACTTACATACCAACTAATGTGTACACTGCGTGGAGTTACGTACGCGGGCTCCCAATTTGTGAGGAAGATTTTGTGCTAGAAGGCGTTACACAACTTGAAGGAGCAGTCCCTGGAAAGTATTTGCATCATTTGCCCTGCAGCCTTGCAAGATTGACTTTTGAAAGTAATTTCAACCAAAGCCTGGAGCAAGTGACCTTGCCATCAAGTCTTCAAAGCTTGAGTTTTGGCTGGGATTTCAACCAAAGCCTGGAGCGGGTGACCTTGCCATCAAGTCTCCAAAGCTTGAGTTTTGGTTTTCACTTTAACCAAAACCTGGAGCAGGTGACCTTCCCATCAAGTCTTCAAAGCTTGACTTTTGGTCAAAGATTTGACCAACGCCTGGAGCGGGTGACCTTGCCATCGAGTCTCCAAAACTTGAGTTTTGGTTTTCACTTTAACCAAAACCTGGAGCAGGTGACCTTACCATCAAGTCTTAAAAGCTTGAGTTTTGGCTATAGATTCAACCAAAGCCTGGGGCAGGTGACCTTGCCATCAAGTCTTCAAAGCTTGAATTTCGGGCATGATTTCAACCAAAGCCTGGAGCGGGTGACCTTGCCATCGAGTGTCCAAAGCTTGAGTTTTGGCTCTCGTTTCAACCAGAGCCTGAAGCGGGCGATCTTGCCATCGAGTCTTCAAAGCTTGAGTTTTGGCGATACCTTTAACCAAAGCCTGGAGCGGGTGACCTTGCCATCGAGCCTTCAAAGCTTGAGTTTTGGTTACGATTTCAACGAAAGCCTGGAGCAGGTGACCTTGCCATCGAGTCTTCAAAGCTTGAGTTTTGGCTATAGATTCAACCAAAGCCTGGAGCGGGTGACCTTGCCGTCAAGTGTCCAAAGCTTGAGTTTTGATTCTCATTTCGACCAAAACCTGGGGCAGGTGACCTTGCCATCAAGTCTTCAAAGCTTGAGTTTTGGGAACAGTTTCAACGAAAGCCTGGAGCAGGTGACCTTGCCATCGAGTCTTCAAAGCTTGAGTTTTGGCTCTCGTTTCAACCAGAGCCTGGAGCAGGTGACCTTGCCATCGAGTCTTCAAAGCTTGAGTTTTGGCGATAACTTTAACCAAAGCCTGGAGCGGGTGACCTGTCCCAAGCCGCTCCCAGAGTGGTCCTCCATGTAGGCGGCCTTGTCTGCCGCCGCGGCGGCCGTGATCAATGTGGCCTCGGAGGTGGGGTGCGTTGTGTATTGCCATCAAGTCTCCAAAGCTTGAGTTTTGGTTTTCACTTTAACCAAAACCTGGAGCAGGTGACCTTCCCATCAAGTCTTCAAAGCTTGACTTTTGGTCAAAGATTTGACCAACGCCTGGAGCGGGTGACCTTGCCATCGAGTCTTCAAAACTTGAGTTTTGGCGATAACTTTAACCAAAGCCTGGAGCGGGTGACCTTGCCGTCGTGTCTTCAAAGCTTAAGATTGGGCAAGCAATTTAACCAAAGCCTGGAGTGGGTGACCCTGCCATCGTGTCTTCAAAGTTTAAGATTGGGCAAGCAATTTAACCAAAGCCTGGAGTGGGTGACCCTGCCATCGTGTCTTCAGAGCTTCAGTGCTGGCCATTCGTCAGGTACGATCTTCGTCAGTTGTGCAAGGTGTGCTTAGTTTGTTATACACTTTGCCAAATATTTCCAAATATAGATATATCTCTGAGCAAAAGAGGCTTGCGTTCCCAGGGATGCGTCAGCTTTCAACCTGGGGTGCTTGAGGCAACCCGAACCATTCATTAGTCGGTAAATAAGACCCATCCTAAAGATGTGGAGTCCATATATTAGTTGTGGTATATCTGATATTTGGGATATGGTATTACATGTACACACACACATATATATATATATATATATGTAGGTATTACATGTACACACATATATATAGATATAGGTGTGTGCATACATATACCCCTACGTACGTCCGGGTGATTGGCGTTGGTCCTTCCATGTCAGACATCTCTGTTTCCAGATTCCCGAGATTTGAATGACAAATTCCGTCGTCCAAAAATGTCGGGAAGTGCCGATGGGTCCAGTCGCCAAAAATGGTTTGTCGATCGCCAAAAGAACAACATCTATCGATTAAACCTACTATGATCGACAAATAGGCATACAACTGACAAAAGGAATGCAAGTGACCGACAGATAGGAATGTTATGCACAACATTCACTAAGTGACGGATATCGGGAGAACTATTACAGTGGGATGATCGCCAAACCTGTGTACTAAGCCGTGTGCTACATCACCCTTGGTTTGCGTAGTGAGGCTAAGACGTCCTCCTTCTGTTTCAATCCCCATTACTGTTGCCTAAGAAACTAAATTATGGTTCGGAGAAGACAGGGGTTGTTAAGCGTCCTAAGTAAACATCCAACTACTGGGAATATCAATCTCCAGATACTTTTTCAAGTGATACTCAAACTCCGCAAAAAGGGACATTTGCCAACCCCTGAACATCCCAAAATTCCTCTCGCAAAAACAACAGCCACTCTTTCCCCTTCCATTTTCTGGCCTCTGCCGCGTGATTCCAGTCGCAGAAAACAATCACGTTGTCTCTTCTGTCGCTGACATATACTGTTACCCTCTGGAAATGACTGCCAGATTGCTACGGAAATGGCAATGTTTAATAGGCAAATTATCTACAAATGGGTCATGTTCCATGGCAATCTATTATCCACCAATTTTGATTGGTTCGTTGGTTGTTCTATCACCTGTAATTTCCACCTATGTGTAATTTCCACCTATGTTTGGATTTTTGGTTGGACACCTCCGAATTTCCGTGACATTCGTATCTCTTGGGATATCTAATGCATAGGTGCATCTGTAGATAGGTAGTCATACATACAGGTAGTATGTATTACAGTACACACATGTATATATATATTATAACCATATATATATATGATGTAAAATAATATATATATATATTATATGTATGTATCATACCATATGATGTCATGTCATGTCATATCATATCGTATCGTATCATATCATATGCATATAACACAACACCACGATCTATCTCATAAGGTACCTCTACATCCAACCGTGTCCGTTTTCGGCAGGTTGGGCGGCCTCACATGCTTCGTGACGGGTGGTGGCGGTGGTATCTCATCAGAGGCCACCCCAAATATCCACAACAAGAGAGCCACTTGGATAGCGTGCTTGGTGGGGGGATATGTTGGTGAGATTGTTTGTTATGTGGTTTACATATGTTTACATAATGAAGAACCTATGAAATGGGCACACATGAAAATGAATGTATTCACTACTCACACTTAGTTTTCATTGTTTCTCTGCCTCGGAGATCAAGCAACTCATTTGGATGAAAGCCTTCGGAACATTTCAGATTTCGCCAGTAGCAATGTAGCCCTTCCATTGCGCCATCAGACCATGGGGATTCCCATTGGCATCAAACATGGCTGGGAATTTGCCATCAATTTTTGGGCAGTCCAGGTATCATAGGGATTCCCAGCTGTGAATATCCCATTGATTTATAGGGAACATACCCCGGAACATACCCGACCAAAATAGCAATTTCAAACATGGCTGGGAATCACCATTCAAACATGGCATTTACCATCATGGGGGTTTATGGGGCATTTTCCATGGCCATGATATGCCATGATTTCCAGAGGCTACCCATTTCATATCCCCATGGTTTGTTTAAAAAAGCCCATCTCCGTGCGCCAAACCGGATGCATCTCTGCCAGAATTTTGGTGAAAAAAACGGGTCTAACCCTTCTTCTTATTCTTATTACATTATTACTATTGCTGATATATGTACTGTATATATATATATACATATCGGACATACCATATATATATATATATATATGGTTGCCCTACATGTTGTTTTCCCCTTGTGAACCCCCTTCGCCATCCATTGACCCATGTGCTGAGGATTGGTATGGAGAAGCCCAGTATGGATTCTACGATTTGTTGGTGTCGAAGAACACCATCTCCATCACCTCCATCAACTGGAACCTCGAGATCAAGGAGACGACCACTTCCACAACCCCGAAAAAATCGCCTGGTTGATGGGTGAATTTCTTGGGAATTATATTTAAGTTAAATTCTTGGTGATTGTGACAACCCGTTGAAAAAAACAACTAGTAGAATGGGATAGGGGTATTTTCAAAAAGGCTCGACTGGATCGGCGTGCTGGAAATGATGCACATTGAAAAATGGGTGTGTCTCACAATTTTGAGAGCTCGCACTGGGTACCAACCAGCAAGGATTGGATTTGGGGTATATCGGTATATCGGTATATCCCATTTTTAGACAAACCCTGGTGGAACAGGTCAGAATCTCACAAAAACGGTGAGGCACACATTTTGCAAAGGAGTTTTTTCAAGTTTGCACGTCAAGTTTAAGGGTGGGGTGTTGTCCAAGTTGGAGATTCTGGATCTCAAAGCCCTGGGATCTTTAGGAGTCAAGGGACACACAGAAACAGATGTGCAGATGGCGCTTCTTTTCGGGTCCCCGACACATTTAGAGGCAAGGTACAATTTTGTGGTCCCATTGGCACATGGCACCCCATCTTGTCTGCGCTGTTGACCCCAAGGAACGGCTACGAGATCATGACGCGCAAGGTCTACCCCAAGTGAGCCGCTGCTTGTGTCCATGACGCTCAACCTTCTGTCTTGCTACAGCCAAAGGGCTGCTGCTAGCTAGTGCATATCAATTTTGAATCCTTGTAGTCTTGCTGTCAAGACGATACGCCTTCCTAGTATACAAAAGCGGCTGGAGCGAGTTTGAAGTCCCGTGTGGAATTAGGAAGTGGAAACACATGGCGAAATGTATACGCTTGTCTGAAAATAGGGCACCCCCCAATTCGCAGTTTTAACTGAGAAACACACAAACCCTGTTCTCGGACAAACCCATATCAACATGATTTCACTTGCGACCGCAGCATTGCAGCTGGGCATTGCAGAACTCATTTTTTCATATTTTTTCCACCATTGTTGGACGCATCTTCAGCAGAGTTTGATTGGCCCTGGCGAAGTTCAACGAAGATCTCAGTCTTTTGGACGGGTCAATAGCTATGGGACCATCGTGTCATGGGTGAACCCACAGCTATTAGGCTAGAAGCAGCGAAACTTCGGTGTCAACAGCGGGATATTGGCATCATTTTTGTTCAAACACACCCCCTATTTCAATTTTCATTGGGGCTTAAAGAAGATGTGTTGGATTTCTCCTTAAAACAAAAATCAGAAGCGGGGCTGAACATGACATGACTTGGGTCCAAAGAATCCTTTCACAGCGAAGCCGGTGACCCCGGTGGCTTCATGGCCTGCATCGATGGGCGGTGTCGCTGAGTTGCGAATGATGGGATGGGCTGGGACGGGACCTGACCATTCGATGGTGGCTTGGTTGTGGTGTGACCTGAACAATGATATGACACAAGTGGTGAGTTTCTCAATAATCATAATAGTTATATATAGTTATCATTTATCACCAATGATCATAATTATCAATAATCATGATATGTCATAATCAATCATCAATAATGATCATTGGTGATAAATGATAAAGACTCATAAAAAAGAATTGAGATAACAAGAATGATAATCCCAATGAATGAGTAGTTAACAACCAGGGAACCACCATTTTGGTATCCCCTAGTAACAATGACCCAATGGTTATAATTGGGTTACTGGTACCACATTACTGGCACGATCAGTGTGGTGATCCTCCAAGTAGTTCGCTGAAAACCTTTCGCTCGTCCCCAACAAACAGGTCGTCAGGTCGCAATAATTTGCCGGCTACATACATAGCCTTACTGGTGCTTAGTGGGGAATGGGGGAATGGGATGATTGTTGCTACTTATAGATCATTCCCCCATTCCCTACTAAGCACCAGTAAGTAGCTCCATATGCCAAACCTCTTCAGGGTTGCAGCAGCAAAGATCCGGAAAGTCTCAAAATATATTTTAATCGTGACTCCAAGTGTTTGGGGAGTTTAGAATCCATAGTGAGTGAACCATCAAAAATAGTGGTTTCATGGGGGGGTTTTTCTGATGGTTTTCAGCCAATTTTGGGCTATGATGTTCCCATAAAACCCATCGCCATTTTGCTGTGAACTACAGAGGATTCCATGGGTTTTGCCCCAAAGCGCTGAGGCAATGTGTCAGTGCGACAAAGCGCAAGCGGAGTGAACCTGGCTTTTTTGTTGCAGGGGCAAAACTTGAAACGTGTGATTGGATGCACTTGAGTATCATGGTATCATGTGTGTGTGTGTATAAATAAATCTCTCTTTCTCTCTCTCTCTCTCTCTCCATATATATGTATATATATATATGTAGATATATGTCTACTATACAGTATTTAGCACGTATAAATATACACATACATAGTACGGATATACATTGATTAATTCAGACAAAGTACCAATTGGTTGAATGTACTGAACCAGATACTGCTTCGTTTCCACGCAGTTGAACTTGAAAGCTGCGCATAGTTTCAGCATGTGATTTAGTGATGCCTACTATCATAGCACCATTGTGCAACGCATTTGCTGGGAATTGGGTGGAATTGGGCTAATAGGCCTCGTCCCAGAGTTCCGTCATAATCGCAACCCCAAGAATATATACCTTATATATATATATTCATCCATTTATCCATTTATCCATTTATTCATTTATTCATTTATTTATTTCATGTGGATTTCAAAAGGCATTTTTACGAGTCGTTCGGGCTTCATTGATCTTTATGTGTGGATGTTTGCCCCCCAAACTTCGAAAAACTGTGACATGGAACGCAGCAATTGGGCCAACTTGGGAGACTCCGATTTCATGTTCCAGGGTTTCATTGAAGTGTTTATGAATAGCCACTGGATATCCATTAGATGTGGCTTAGACTGATTAGACATGACACTAGATAGAGATATCCATTAGATATCCATTAGATATCCATTAGATATCATTAGACATGACAGTAGATAGATCCCACTTGATTTCTTCCACAGCTGCTGCGCAGGAAGGTCATTGTCCATGCCATTCCCGCCAGCTGTTGCACCAACATTCAGTCGGCCAACGAGGAGTTTCCGATGCGGGGAGAGCACGGTGGTCGGGTGACCTCTCTACGGGAAACCACTTCGAGTTCGACATTTCTACGGATCTGTGTTTTTTTTTGGGTCTTTTTTCGGAAATGACGGGTATATATATATATATGTATATATATATGTATATATATATATGTATATATATATATATACATGTTAGGGAAAACCATCCCAATTTTTGTCTCTTTACTTCTCTTTGTTTATTACTGGGTTGGGAATGGCCATGAGATTTGCCCAAATTCGAGAAAACACACGCTGAATCCACTCCACTTAGAATGCAACAAATCTCTCATCCACCTGCATACTGTACATTATTTTACATGTACATGTAAAATCACAT